ACAGATGTAAAGGATTTTGCATGCATCGCAGCAGTAGCAATCAATCTTGCAAACAAAATGGATGTTAGTTTTTATCAAATTTCTCTTTTATATGCACTTTTATATCATTTGTGCCGCAAAAAGTTAAGACTGTGGATTACAGCCGTAAATCCATCTGTCCTCATTTCCGTCCTAATGGTTCAATTTGAATAATGACGATAGATAGCAAGGGCGAAAAAATTTAAAAGGCACAAATCCTGAAGCACAGAATCAGCTCCATTGTTCCAAAGGGCAGATCATCAGCATTACAAAGAAGATGAACTTATTAGCACAGAAAATATTTGATTTGCTTCAAAAAAAGTATTTTTTTACAAAGAAATGTTAATAATAGAGAGATGGAGAAGACAATCAATTGAAAAATCCCTCAAGAAAAAAGAATAGCATTTTTAAGGGAAAAGAAAATAAACTGGAGAGAATTATCTCGATCCATGAAGTCCTATACATTCTTTTTCAGTACCACAACTGGGCCTAGTTAGTACGATGATTGAGATGTTCATTGGAAAAGGGGCAGGGGAAAATAGAAATTGAAGAATGTGGGAAAAGCAGAGTGAAAAGAGCTGAATGCAAATGAGGAATTTCTTCATCTTATCTTACTCATTTTTGCCATTTAATTAATACCAATTTGTTTTGTTGGAATCTATCGGATTTTTAAAGTACCAGCCAAGTTCTGCTGCGTCGCAAAGTGCAAAATATTTTCGGTCAACTTTCCTTTGTTTTTTCTGAGCTTTTTTGATCGACCGTTATTCGTACTCTCATTTCTCAAATGCCGACTGTTAAAGACTTTTCTGCAAGCGATCTAGAGTCCCAAAAAACATCCTCGCCGGCGGACTCTCTGAGAAGTTTGTTCAGGGCAATTTGACTCTCCGGTGCTCCTTGCGTATAGTTGTACGGGGTACGGCAGGGAAATGAGTTCACAGAGTGGGTGAAGGGCCTTCGCAAACTCCTTTAATATTTTTTTTTTTCGAGTTTCAGCAGCAGGATTCGCTTCCAACAGATAGTTTTCGCGGTGTGCTTGGAAGCGAGAAATGCAAGTACGAGCGTAAAATGATTGAAGCGTTTCACGGTGACTTCGATTGCCCGCTTTCATATCGATTCTTGCGACGATTTGCACGAGTTGCCGAAAAAGATATGCGGACACTGACGCTAGCCCGTTATATCCTGGAAACATCGCTTCTCTTCTACGAATTCATCAGCGTTCCAGACAGTATGATGGCAGCCGCTGCCTTGCTTCTCGCTATTCGAATGATCCGAGCTGGCCATTGGGTAGCACACTATTCATTTTTAAAAGAAGTAAAATCAAGAAAACAATGTGTACTTGGATCAACTGCTTTTCATTGCCTGATTCTCCAGCTATGTAGCTATAAATTTTTACAGTTCCTTCGATCACTGGTTCACTTCCCGGTGGTCAGTTATCTTGCTGGAGTTTTCCGCAAAGAGGCATGTTAGTGATGTTACTGGGGTGCTCCCACACATACCGAGCGCAGCTATGCCACGCCCTTCGAATCTGAGCTGCATACCTTGTAGGATATGTCATTGTAAAAGCTTGGTGTTCCAAAAATGCGCTAGTAGGGAAAAAGTAGCCATGCCAAATCCTTTCCGCACTCTTTGGCTATTTGTCTCCGATTGCGCTTGCGCCTCATCGCGTCAACATACTACCGCTGTTCACCACCGACAGATTAAAACCACTTTTAGTCAAGCAAATTGGTCAAATATACGGGCTACAAAGTGGGCAGTGTGGAGCCGCTTATGTGGTGTCTGAATCACATGCTGTGGATGCGTTCGAAGCTTCTTCCAGCTTTGCAAACGATCACGAACAAATACAATGATTCGTATGTTTTTCTATTATCGTGTGTATTACACTAGCAATTTAATCATCAAAAAAGTCAAAAGTCAAGGGCTTTCTCGTATTCGCCCTCAACGAGAGACGGAAGCTTTGAATCCTATACAGTGAAAATAAGTTTTGAATCCTATACAATGCCTTGATTCCAGTGTTTTCATTAATTTTCATAATTCGCCTGCTTTTCTCTCCACGGTGGACCAGCAACGCCAAACAAACTGCATATGTTAAATCACAGAGGATTTCAGGCCCTCCGTCCTCTTTCAGTCTCCCAGTCAGGGATGTTTACTGTTCATATCTCCAAAATTTCTAAAACACCTTATACAGGAAAATGCAGATAAAATTAGAATTTTAGAATAATAGTTACAGTAATAGAATGAGCACACCAAAA